AGTTAGTTCGCAAAGGGCAAGGACACGAAGAAATTGGAAAAGAAGACATAACAGCAGAAAACGAGTCAAATCTCCGAATTCCTGTGGCAGAAAATTGTCACTGAATTTTCTGTTTAATACTGTCCTTGCACTTATGCTATTTTTTAGTTTATATTTCTTTGCAGCGCTGAATATTTCCGTAACTTTAGTTATTAACCTTATGCGCTAATCTTGTTTTGATCGGTTCAGTCTGCTGGAAAAACCGAAATTGCTACTGTGCGGAACTCGTCCGCAGTAATCGAATGACCGTTCGACATAATAGAAAGTATGTCGGACTCATAAGTCTATGGCACTGCACCCTCAGCTACCGTTTTCTTGTTCTGTTATACTAAAGACTCTCCATTTTCAACCTACAGGTTTGAAAGGAACATTCTCTTCTTCTTTCTTCTTCTGGAACTGCATTTCGTGGGAGTCTTAAAGAAAAAAAGCACAGCTTGGTTTGAGCCGTATCAATATGGAACCTGTTCGGCATTGTACTCTTTGAGATTTTTTTTCCAGTCGGATTCCGGACATACCAAGAAACAATGAAATATCTTGAACTTCCGTAGTGCAGCATTAAAAATTTGAGCGCCGCTGTCGCTTTTCGTTCTCTAAGCTCTCGATAATTTCGAGTGCAGCAGTGACGGTGATTGCGGTCAGTCAAGTGCGCTCCTGCCCACCGTCCGCTCCGGAGAGCATTTGCATTTGTAACGAATTAGCTAAGAACATCGTATACTATCACACGTTCTTCATATGACTTTTTTTGACAAACAAAACAAGTTCTTAGCTCTATTGAGGGCGTTTGCAGTCGAAAAATCGCCATTTTGTCACTTTCAAAGTGTCTTCATCGTGGAACAGCCTCGGAGTTTTCATATAATCGTATTTGACATTCCGGATTCAAGACTGTATTCCGAGGAATTGCTGACCTGTATTGTACTCTATCTCTCTTAAATTCTCATCTTGTATAGTTTTCTAAAGAATACATTAACATTTTCCTTTCTAATACTTCGACTGTCTGGATCCTCCACCAAGAAAATGCTATTGAGGCTTTTTCTTCAAACCTGCAATTTTTGAAATTTGCTTCATGTCCTTAGCATTCTCTCATT